CCAAACCCATTGCTATCAAGTTGATTCCAACTCACAGAGACCCTATAAGACAGAGTAGAACTGCCCCCATGGGATTTCCAAGGCTGCATGTAATCTTTATGGAAGCAGACTGCCATACCGTTCTCCCATGGAGCAGCTGGTGGGTCTGAGACGCCAACCTTTTGATTCGCAGCTGAGTGTTTAAGCATTGCATCACCAGGGCTCTCAAATTTAATCACAGGATATATTAATATAATTACTGTTCATCTTTAAATGTTAAAGGGAGCACTGGTACCCTTCTTCCCCAGTTTATAAACTCACCAAAGATAATGGTTAATGTACCTTTGCAACATACAGGAAAGAAAATCAGTTAACTAGAGGAATCCTTTTATCTATTAAAGGGACAAGATTACTACTTCAAGAGATAGGAGAACATCAATGAAGCATGAAGTACCTGGGAACTGGCTGGTGGAATTTGTTTCCCAAACTAATTTCAAAATCTTTTTCTTTTTTCCTTTTTTAGTACCAATGACCAAGGAATAGCAGAGGAAGGCAAAAAAAAAAAAAAAAGTACTTTGTAGAATGAACTCAATTCTCTTGAAAATGTTTGACTGCACTGCTTCTATTTAATCAACAATTAGGTGGTCCAAGGAGAAAACAGTGGAAGTCAACCTACCTAACCATTGTGACAGTTTGAATATTAAACCAAAACCAAACTCACTGCCATCAAGTCGATTTTGACTCACAGAGACCCCTTCTTGGGTTTCCGAGGCAGTAACACTACAGAAGTAGATTGCCCAACCTTCTGTCTGAGGAGTGGCTGGTGGGTTTGAACTGTCAGCCTTCTGGTTAGTAATCAACGCCTTAGGCACTATACCACCAGAGGCACCCCAAGTTCCCATTTCAATTTCTTACACTCTTGCTTCCCACATTATTTTAAGCAAGTCATTAGAGTGCCTCCCTTTCAATAGTGAAGCCAATCCGCTCCTAAATACCTATCTGCTGCCCATACAACTCCCTTCTTCACAACCATTTGGAATAAAACAGATGAAGGTGACACAGGACAAGGATTTACCCACAATGATGACTAGACACGCTGATGGCAGGAGTAAAGGGTTTGTTTTATAAGAAAGGTTCTTCCTGATTTTTTTAGCTTTGGAACAATATTTTGGAGTGGTGAAGCTTACGGCTGAGTTTGTCTTGGCCTGTGTGAGCTAAATGGGATCAGCTGGAGACCAGAGAAAAGAAGGCAGATAGATGCTGGCTGTGTGGGCCTGGCTCAGACTCAGGCTTTCAGGAAGCAGGACGGAGGGTTCCGAGATCATAAGGCCAGGAGAGCAGACAGGGCTTTGCAGTGGAAACTGAATACAAAGAGCATACTTTTTAAAAGATTTCCTAGGAGTCTAAGTATTGCATTAGGTAGCAAAATGGAGGGTGGACCCTTACAAAGGGATGGGAAATCCTTTTATACAGTTAAACAGGAATTTGGAGCTCTATAGTATAATGGTTTCTTTCACTCTTTCCAAAGATGCAACAAGTAGTTTTTCATTTCAGCACAGAGGCTGTAAACAGGAAATAAAACATTCAGAGATTAAGGTGGTTTGGATCTCACTTTCTGGTCCAGGCTCACCCAGGATTTCAGTAAGAGTAAGTGGACAATCAGCCAATAAAATGGACAAAGTCCATGAAACATGTGGAGCATGCCTAAGCACCTGGGAATTGCCCAAATAAATAGAATATGCTGCTGTTCTCTCTTGAAGTGAATATATGTAATCAGAAGAACAACAATTAAATTTAAAAGACTTAGAAAGAGGTATTAACAATCAAATCAGCCAAGAAATGGGAGAACCCATGAGGGGTTGTTTCAGTGATCTTTCAAAACTCTAACTGTATTATTATTCTACAAGTCTTCCTTAAGAGGATTAAATCAGGATACATTTTGAGAAAATGAAACAAGGTGACCTGATTTAGAGAGTTGCTGTTTGTTGTTGTTATGTGCTGTTGAGTCGGACCCGACTCATTGTGACCCTTTCTTGGGTTTTCAAGGCAGTAGCCTACATAAGTAGATTGCCCCATCTTCCTTCCGAGTGGCTGGTGGGTTTGAACTGCCAGCCTTCTGGTTAGCAGTCAAGTGCCTTAGGCACTACGCTACCAGAGTATTCCAGATGATGGCTCTGAAGTGGATAAACAACATAAACTAACATTCAACATGTACTTATGTATCAAGTCCTAGCCCATGTGTTTTGCATACACCTTCTTTTTTAATCCTCCCAATAACACTTAGACACAAATCTGTGATTCATACCTAGGGTGGGCATACCGATTCCAGAGGCAAAGCTCTTAAATACTACACTATACCCTCTAAGAGATGATGCTTTTCTGCAAACAGAGTGCAATTTGTGGTTTGGCTTATCTGGAAACTTGATCCTAACAGAGGCCTCACAGGAGGCAGCATCAGTTATGTTAAGAATCTGTCTAGAGGTCCAAGTCAGAGTCTATCAACGAGAACTTCAGTATAACTCAAGAGGCAAGTGGGTACCACCTTAGAGTATTGGCAATGGAAATAATATATCTAAACAATGCAACAACAGATTAATTATGTTGTTCTGAACAAGGCATATTTGAAAGGAGGAAGGCTTGGGAGTTGACAAAGAGTTGGTGAAGAAGTGTACTGCAGCACATCTATGAAGTAGGGAGGTAAATGAATACATGCAAAAATCTTAAGTCAGGGTTAGTTTTATACTTAACTAGTTGCATAGGAGGCAAATGCAAACAAATTAAGAGTAATGGGACTCTCAAGGAGAAACAACAGGATACAGAGGGCTACGGACTCCTCAACCCACAGTTAGTGAACAGAAGGAAAGGAAGAAGGAACACTGAACTTGTTTGTGAGGAATGAGAAGAACTTTAAAAATAATGTTATCCTTTAAACTGAGTCTAGAGTAGCACATGCAACAAAACCAAACCCACTGCCACTGAGTTGATCCTGGCTCATAACAGCCCTGGAGGACAGAGTAGACCTGCCTCCCTAGGGTTTCCAAGGCTGTCAATCTTTACAGAGGCAGACTGCCTCATCTTTCTCCCACGGAGTGGCTAGTGGGTTCAAACTGCCAACTTTTGGTTAACCACTATGCCACCAGAGCTCCTTTGTTATTGTTGTTATATGACATCAAGTCGACCCCGACTCATAGTGACCCCTCCTCCTTGGGTTTCTGAGGCAGTTTCACTATGGAAGTAGATTGCCCCATCTTCCTTCCGAGGAGTGGCTGGTGGGTTTGAAGTGCCAGCCTTCTGGTTAGCAGTCAAGCGCCTTAGGCACTAAGCTACCAGAGCTCCTCCAGAACTCCTTAGCACATGTAAACCATGTATATAATTTTAAATTATTAAGTAGCTACATTTAAAATAATTTTGATAATATATTTTATTTAGCCCAATATATCCAAAATGGTATCATGTCAACATGCACTCAATATCAAAAATTAATATTGAGCAATTTTGCATTCCTTTGATTTTACCAAGTCTCCAAATCCAGTGTTTATTTTATACCAATAGCACATTCCAATTCCACTACTACTGTCTCCTTCTGGTCCTTCAGGGACTCTGCCCTAAACAATAAATGCTTCCAGTCTCTTACTTATTTAGTGGTATATGTAGGACACTGTCCAAAGCAAATGACTATCAGAATCACATCAAATCAAATCAAATCCAAGTTACCTCCCCAACTCTTGGGAGAGGGAGGAGGAAGCTGATCTCACAAGTCATTACAGCCTGAAGCATTCCCACATGTGCGAGTTGTGGATAATAACTCTCATTGCCCTGAGCCACAAGGTTCCTGCCTACAGTTACTTTCTCTTTGTGGGTTACTGTGATCTAGCAAGATGTGTACAGGTCTGGAAAACAAGTGGCCTGAATTTAAGTTCTGATTCTGCTAACTGCCAAGCAATTTAGACTACTAACACAAAAATTTATATTCAAGATATTTTAGAAATCAGTCTACTTTAAAAACAGTGAATTCAGTTCAAATAATAGTTTGCCTAATTTGAAGTTTCTTTATATTAATTAAAGTGCATAACTTCATAGTTTATTTGCTTTAACATGGATTGGAAGAGGGTAAGAGTGAAAAATATTTACCTAGTTCTTGTCTACTGAGCAAAAAATTTAAAGCTGTCACTAATCCATATATTTTATAACAAATTCCATCAAGTATATTCTGATTCAGTGACCATATAGGACCCTACACAACTGCCCGTTAGGTTTCCAAGGCTGAAATCTTTACAGAAGCAGATGACCACATTTTTCTCCATGAAGCAGTTAGTGTATTGGAACCACCAACCTTTTGGTTAGTAGCTGAGTGTTTAACTATTGCATCACCAGGGCTCCTTGTTTGTGCTGTACAATATATTATGTATTATACTACATAATATAAAATGTGTATTATGCAATGTAACCTATTATATATCATCTTTATACTGTGCCATATATCTCAGTTTCCCTGAACAGTTATGAATATAATTTTCTCCACATGATACTGAAGTCAACATTACTCTCCTTAGAGTCCACTGCCAATTTCAACATATAAGCCTGCATGGTTGTTCTCTAATTCAGCAATGTTGCTTTCCGGCAGCCAGATATAGGCAGTGAAGCCTGTTTTACTGGACCTTAGTGATGAAATTCAGTTTATCAAACCAATTCTGTACAACAGTCATGAACCCAAATTTATTTGGGGTTTGGTTTTCAGCTCTTGGTAACAGCTTAGAGATTTAGTACCACTGGCCATCTCTGCATTGTTTCAAACTGGAATATATATATATATATATATGTATATGTATGTATATATTTAAACAGAGAGTTAAAGCATCTTAGCATAGCATTTTAGCATAGGGAGACCTATCGAAATGTTGACTAAGCCTTTTTAAAGTTAGAGAATGACTAGAGAGAAAAGCAAACTGCTGATCACTTCTGTTTGACACAAACAAATAAAAGATTTATGAAAGAAAAAAAGCATATGGAAACAAACTCACCTGCATTGGAGCCAGTCAAATTATAACGTGCATTCAGCTTTTTAATGATGTTCTCATGGATTTGGTACCATTCACTCTCTGTGTTACACCTACAAAAACATGAATACTCTGTTAAACTTTAATGATGCGTGACAGCAAGCAATGACCTTAACGACACACCTGGCCCCCTTGTTACACCCACTATAACTAAAGCTCCCTGGGAATCTCCAACAACCAGTGGCAGAGGACTGCCAGTTTGGGTGCTACAAGAGAAGCAGGATGTCCATGCTTGGTAATGTCTGACCACCTGACAGGAGCAGCTGGGATGAACAACTCACAGATTAGGAGTGGAAAAAGGAACATATCTCAGAGAACACTGCACACAGTGGAAGGCAGCACAGATTAAGAGGACTCCATGGATTTGAACCCTCATTAGTCACTGACCTTTGGTGTTTGAATGAATTGTTTCCTACCTCTGTTCCTCAATTTCCTCATTTGTACAATGGGGGTAATATACTAGAACATTAAACAAGCTTAAAGCAAACCCATTGGCATAGAGCCAATTCTGATCGTGGCTCCCCAATCTGTTACTGTGGAGAAATGCTCCACAGAGTTTTCTTGGCAGCAATCTTAACAAGGAGCCCTGGTGGTACAGTAGGTAAATGTTGGTTAAGTAGTTGGTTGCTAAGCAAAGGTTGGTGGTTTGAGGCCACCAGAAAGATGTGACAAGTCTGTTTCAGTGAAGATTACATCCTTAGAACTATGGGACAGTTCTACTCTGTCCTATAGGGTTGTTATGAGTTGGAATTGATTCAAAGGCAATGGGTTTTTTTTTTTTTTTTTTGGTTTGATAATCTTAATGGAAATAGATCACCAGGTCTTTCTTCCCAATGGATGGGTATGAACCATCAATGCTTCAATTAGTAGTCAAGCACAAATCATTTGTACCTAGGGACCTTGAGCTTAATACAACACCCAAAAGAGTAAATACTCAATGAATGTGAGTTTTTCATGAGCAAGTCTCACCTACTGTAACTTGAGCAGGTTTGGCTAGCATCAAATGCAACAAATCAAGCAAAATGAAATTGAGGTCAATACAACTGGCCCTTGAGGGGGGGGGTGGGGATTGACGGGATTAAACACATGGTAATAAAAGCACCCTTCCAGATTTTCCACATCTGGGCTAAAAGGTATCTATCTCAATGTCTTCTCAATCTCACAATCTTCTCTACTTCTTAATTGTAGTTCTTCTCATTCACTAGCTCATGCTACCTTTATTTGTGTACATGGTGTCATTTACCTGGTGGCTGTTAAAGCTTCTAAGGTTTTGATCCAGAACTGGTTCATGCCTGTGTTCCCCTCAGTACTGTGAATGGCTGGGTGGGTATGTAAAAACCATCAGCTGTGTGAATAAAGGGCTGGCTAGCCTTTTTGACAGCAATATCCTAATGATTCATGTACAATTGGCCCATTACCCCTCAACTGGTATTCCTGTAGGCAGGTAGGCATAATCCTATCATTGACAGCATTGTACTTCAGGATAGATTTTGTAATATTCCTTTTGACAGTGAATGTGACACTGCCTCTCTTCAATTTATCATTTCTAGAATAGTAGACCATATGATTGTTTGATTCAAAATGGCCAATACCAGTCCATTTCAGTTCACTAATGCCTAGGACATCAATTTTCATGCATTTCATTTCATTTTTCACAACTTCCAATTTTCCTAAATTCATCCATTATTCATTCCAAATTCTGATTATTAATAGATGTTTGCAGATGTTTCATCTCATTTTGAGTCATGCCATATCAGGAAATGAAGGTCCCAAAAGCTTTACTCCATCCATATCATTAAGGTCAACTCTACTTTGAAGTGGTAACCCTTCTCAATTTATATTTTGAATAACTTCCAACTTGAAGGGCTCATCTTCTGGGACTACATCAGAAAGAGTTCTACTGCTATTCATCATAATATTTTCAATAGGCAATGTTTTTTAGAAGTAGATTTCCAGGGCTTTCTTCCTAGCCTGTCTGAGTCTGGAAGTACTGCTGAAACTTATCCACCATGAGTAACCCTGTTGTATTTAAAATACTGGTAGCATAGCATCTGGCATCACAGTAACATGCAAGCCACCACAGTATGACAAACTGAGAGACAAGTGGTAGTATAAATACATCTACAAGGAAGATGAGTTAATATAACTCTTGATCAAATTGATGCTCAAGCTACTAATGCCAAAGATGAAAAAAATGAACTTTCTTACCAACTTCTATAATCTGAAACCGATCAAATATGAAATCAAGATGCACTGATAATTTCTGGTGGTCAGAATGTGAAAGCCAGAAATGAAGAAGAATCAATAACTGGAAAACATGGACTTGGTGATGGGCATCACACTGGAAACCTCATGATAGAATTTTGTAAGACCAATGACCTATTCATTGCAAGTGTATTTTTTCAACAAGATAAACAGTGATTATATGCATGGACCTTGCTAGATGGAATACAGAGAAATCAAATCAACTACATCTATGGAAAGAGATGATAGAGAAGCTCCGTATCATCAGTCAGAACAAGGCCAAGGACTGACTGTGGAATAGACCATGAATTGCTCACATGCAAACTCAAAATGAAGCTGAAGAAAATTAAAACAAGTCCATGAAAGCCAAAGTACAATCTTGAGTATATGCAATCTTGAGTATCAGGGTTGTATTCTTTTTCAATCTGTATGTTGAGCATATAATCCGAGAAGCTAGAATATATGAATATTGTGGTATAACCTATGATATGCAGATGACACCACCTTGCTTCCTGAAAATGAAAAGGACTTGAAGCACTTATTGATGAAGATCAAAGACAGCCTTCAACATGGATTATATCTCAACATAAAGAAAGTAAAAATCCTCATCCAAAGAGTGCACTAAATCTCAGAAGTTAGGAAAATTAAAATAGAATGAGGAACTATAAGCCAGATCACAATAAAAGGAGAACGATTGAAGTTGTCAAGGATTCCATTTCACTTGGATCCACAATCAATGCTCATGGAAGCAACAGTTAAGAATTGAAAGGACGTACTGCATTGGGCAAATCTGTTGCAAAAGGTATCTTGAAAGTATTCAAAAGCAAAGATGTCACTCTGAGGAGTAATATGCGCCTGACTCAAGCCATGGTATTTTCAATCACCTCATATGCATGCAAAAGCTGGACAATGAAGAAGGAAGACTAAAGAAGAATTGAGGCATTGGAACTATAGTACTGGCAAAAAAAATGCTCAATATACAATGAACTGGCAGAAGAATGAACAACTATGTTTTGGAAGGAGTACAGCCAGAATGCTCCTTAGAAATCAGGATGGCTAGACTTTGTCTCACATACATTGGGCATGGTGGTATAGTGGTTATTTCAGCTGCTAACCAAAAGATTGGCACTTTGAACCTACCAGCCACTCTGTAAGAGAAACATGAGGCAGTCTGCTTCTATAAAGATTTACAACCTTAGAAACCCTATGGGGTAGTTCTATTCTGTCCTATGGCATCGCTATGAGTTGAAATCAACTTGATAGTAGTGGGTATCTATCAGAAGGAACCAATCCCTAGAGAAGAACATCATGCTTTGTAAAGTAGAGGGTCAGTAAAAGAGAGGAGAATTTCAAGGAGCTGGATAAACACAGCGGCTGCAACAATGGCTTCAAATATAGCAACAACTGTGCAGATGGTGCAGGACCCGGCAATGTTTCATTCCATTGTACATACGGTAGTTATGAGATGGAATCAACTCGACAGCTCCTAATAAGAATAACAGCAACCTTTTTTTACTGCCCCCGGTTAGCCTTGAAGGATTTCCCTCATCTGAACCTGTTTGTAAATTTACCACAAACTTTCATTAGCCATAATTGTGCCCTCTTCCAAAGAGCACTGAAAATCAAGATTCTACAGCACCATCAATCAAAATGTGCCACAGGATGGATTTCTTCCTAGTGATCTTATCTGCATAGATAATTCACAATTATTTGTCTGCACACCTACATATATATGTATATATATAAACACACACACATATAATAAATACACACACACATACACATGGATCCATTTACATTTTATCTTATCACCACAGGCTTTTCCAGGAGGAAAATAACGGAGCTTATTTTCGAGGCAGTTAACAGTGGGATATCAAACAGAGCACTGAATCTAGGAAGGCCAGAAAATTAAGATGGAATGAACTCATCCTACCTGTCCAGCTGTAAGATACCAAATTCCCATTTAGTATATTCTGCTTCTAGTTTTCTTATTTCAGCCCAGTAGGGAAGGAAGGAGGATGGCTCACTTTCTATTTCTATTAGCTAGTTAAGTGACTCCAGAATTCATGCTTTTAACCTACAAAACTGAGTAAAATCAAAACTCCTGAAGTATGTGACTGGAATTCCTCCCAAGCTCAGAGAAGGCCTTTGTTACTGTTCCATGTTTGAGTGCAAACTGGCTATGGAGTCAGCAATCATTACAAACAGAAATTTCTACCAACTTGTTTATAACAGGCAGTTTCCTAATATGTTTCACTCAATTCACAGTTCTTTCTTCATCTGTTCTGATGGGTTAGTATTCCTTCTTATAATGGCTTTACAATTTGCTGAGCTGGCATTATTAAGGGATCCTTCTAACGAGAATTATCCATAACTTTATTTGATGTCTAAGAAAAAAACAGACAATAAAACCCACCAAGGGTAGCCCAATTTGTTTTTACAAGCATGTGTCCTATAGGCAGAGCTGGATTCATGGGTTGTCTTCAGCTTGTTCATAACCAAGGGAATGCATGTAACTGTAGGGCCCTCAGTTTCCCCAATGGGAAGATAAATGCAGCACTCGCTGCCCACATCTAGAAAGACTATTCTAAGAAGCGATGAGATCATGTTTGTGAAGAACTTTAGTTTTCTTAAAAAGCAAAGCCATCTGATGGCATCATAGGGTATTTATTATAAGATGGTGGGTATCAGCAGCACCCAGAAACGTAAAACCTGAGGATAACATGATAGCTTAGTTTCTGGAGTCAGAGGGATGTGACTTCAAATCTGTGTTTCTTACTTATTAGCTGTGTGATTTGGGGCAAATTATTTAGCTTCTCTGCTTTTTCTTTATGTGCAAACTGAGATAACAGCATCTGCTCTGGGGTTTTGTTGTGAGGATAAAGTGATAGGGTATAAGCCAAGTATTTAAAACAGTTCCATAACACATAGTGGGAGCTCTGGTAGCATAGTGCCTAAGGCACTTGACTGCTAACCAGAAGGCTGGCAGTTCAAACCCACCAGCCACTCCTCGGAAGGAAGATGGGGCAATCTACTTCTGTAGTGATACCACCTCGGAAACCCAAGAAGGGGTCGCTATGAGTCGGGTCCAACTTGACGGCACATAACAACAACAACAACAACAACACATAGTAAGTGCACAGTAAATGGTGGCTTTTTTCATCAGAATTATTTAAAATAAATTATGTTTCTGACTCACAGTAAAGTTTAGAATGAAGACTAACAAAGATTTACCTCAACTGCTAAAATTGAAGGTGCCATGTGATAAAAATAGTAACAAGACTCTGGTGGCATAGTGCCTATGGCATCTGACTGCTAACCAGAAGGCTGGCTGCTGCTTGGAAGGAAAAACGGGCCATCTACTTCCATAAAGATACCGCCTTGGAAATCAAGGGAGGGGTCGCTGTGAGTCGAAATCGACTCAATTGCAGTGAGCTTTTGGTGGTATAAGTGGTTAATAAACTTGGCTGCTAACCAAATGGCTGCAGGTGCGAGTCTACCCAGAGGTACCTCAGAAGAATGGCCTAGCTATCTACTTCCAAAAAATCAGTTACTGAAAATCCCATGGAGAACAGTTCTGCTCCGATACACGTGGAGTTGTCAAGAGTCATAACTGACTTGATGGTAACTGGTAGGTAGGTGGTTTCAAGTTTAAAATCAAGGTCACAGATTTTGTCCTTCTTAAAGGAGATAAAGAGAATCTCTGCTCTTCAAACACACACTGTAGACAAATCTTTGTCAACTAATTAGCAGAGGTGGGCTCAGGTCCTTTGGGCACTGAGTGGAGAGTGGAGAAATCCAGGGAGCCCTCAGGGACGTTGAAAAAGCAACGTGAAGTGTATGTCCACAGACAGAGGGCTGTCATGCTACCTCTGCACAGGAGAAAATTACTGACTTATGTTGGACATCAATACAAATGCCAGAAGAGAAAATTAGAAGCACTAGCACCACGGTTCTCAAACCAGGCACGCGGGAACCACAGGGGTCTGTTCTGAGGACTTCAGTGCAGATCATCTCTCAATGACCAAACCAGTGGGGAACACTTAGAGCGTGGTAATCCAAAACCATGTGTATTTTAAAAACCATTTAACTTAGGATTTAGAATACATTATCTGATGTCCTTTGTGGAGTAATGAAGAAAATCACCTGAGCTTTTTTTCCTAAGTCTAATTAGTTCTAACTAACTTACATTAAAAATGATTTCCCTTTTCCAAAGATAAATTAACTGGCTGTCTTGGCATAAAGATATGTTCGGGGTTAATTCACAGGGATACTCTATGCAGGGGACATTCTACATAATTAATGCATTCTGTATTCATTGGCAGTCACAAGTGCACATTTGTGGGCTTACTTGTACTGAACCTACCTAAAGTCTGAAACCTACCATCGTCAAGTCAATTCCAACTCATAGCAACCCTATAGGACACAGTAGAACTGCCCCATAGGTTTTCCAAGGCTGTAAATCTTTATGGAAGCAGGCTTCCTCATCTTTTGCTGTGGAGTGGCTGGTGGGTTCGAACTGCCAGCACCACCACAGTGCCTAGCGAATCTATAGATTCTTGTTTTCCAGAAATGGCTCCTGAGCCCTACTCATCTCTTCCCCTTCTTACCCATGCGACCAGTAGGATCTACATAAGATTTGCTCCCACCACATGCATGTTTCTTACATGTACACTTTCAGGATGAGGTCATCCTTTGTCTCTCCTGTCAGCAGGTCAGCGATGCTAAGAACGGCACAGCCAAAGGGTCGTCGGTATTGGACACTGCAGGCATTTTTCTTTTCTCCTGCTCCCATTCGACCTGTCCGAAAGCAAACATGACCCATGTAACCATTTCATCAGATTCATCCTAATGAGAGCACATACAGCTACCAGATAAGCCATGCAAAATGTAATTGGACAATGGAAAGAACACTGGTTTGGGGCAACAAAAGATGTTGTTTTGATTCTGGACTCTTCTCCGCAACCACCTAGCTGGGTAACTTTGGGCCAGCAGCTTAAGGTCTCGTTATCAGTTTCCATCTGGAAAACACTGCGGCCCATCCCATCTTTGGGAGCTCCCTCCCCTGAGGAATCTCTGTCAGCCTCCCAGGAGTTTTCATGTCATTAAAGGCAGTGATGCTGCCTGTTTCATTTTCTTTCCTTTTTTTTTTAAATTAATTTTTTATAAAATATTTCCAAATGTTCACCTTTGAGATAAAACAGTCTGAAATTCTCTAAAGGACAGCAAGTAAGCACAGAAGCAGTTAGTGGTGACTGAAAGAACATGCTGTTGACTCAGTGCTCTGACTGCTTAAAACTCAGTTGAACACTGAATATTAGATTTTAATTTGCTTAAATTGTCATACTTTCTTTAAAATGTTACTGATATGTAACATTGTAACTGATATTGAATTGTCAATGCTGCAATTTTTAAGACAGGAAATAGAAACTACACTGATGCTGAAATATAACAAGTTAATGTGGGAAAAAATAATAACTATAAAAAATCTGCAAATCTGTCTCCATATGCTTGGCAACAGATCTATAAGTTGTGTGCATCAGAATAAAATTTGCAAAATTCTCATACAGCCCAAGATGTCTCTAGCATTTCCAAAAACCAATGGTTAATAGGAAAAAAAAAGGGGGGGGGGTTGTTGCCATTTTCCTTTTGGCTTTTATTCATCAGTAAGAAAAGGTAAACTACCTATGCAATATGTTTTTATTTTTCACAGAAATGCTTATAAACAGCAGCTTGATACACTATCATTTTTTCAGTTAGAATCAGAATGATCAAAATAAGGCAGTTGCTCTTAAGACTTGCAAAATGTAAGAATTTCAAATACTACCTTTTTACGATCTGATGCTGTAATAAGTGGCTAAATTTCAGTCTATGTTTTAACATACACTCATAATGTCAAATTTGAATTTATTTATCAGCCAATCATACTTGTACTTACAGAAAAGATTTCAACAAATTTAAAATGTTCTTTCATTATATGGAAAAACTCAATGTATTTCCATTTTAAATATTGTTACAAATTGTATGAGGATGAAAATATATACTCCAAACTTGGTCAATGTCATGATCTAAAATATAATTTCTTTATTTAATCATTTCCTTATATATTCAAGATCACAAAGCATTTAGGAGATTTCTGGTTGGAGTTTTTCAAAGTCATTTAAGATCATCAAAGAGTTTATTAGTCAAAAAACAAAGCAAAAGAGCTTGGGAAACTCTCAACAACATTATTCCTACAGACTCTTCTACTTCTAAAGTCCTATGGACTTACATAAGGGTGCAGCATGCACATCAGTGTTTTCTTCTTTCACCCATGTTAGCTAGAACTATTAATAATAAAAAAAAAACAAAAACCTCACTGCTGTTTAGTCGAACCCAACTCGCAGCAACCCCTCCTTTGGTTTCCAGAGCAGTATCTCTACAGAAGTAGATTGCCCAATCTTTCTTCTGAGGCGTGGCTGGTGGATTTGAACAACCAGCCTTCTGGTTAGCAGTCAGATGCTTTAGGCACTACGCCACCAGAGCTCCTTAACTAGAATTATACAAAAGAAAAATGGTGGGGGGTAGGGAAAGGCTCCCAAAATAAGAAAAATGGAGTAAGTGTTACTCTCATGATAACTTGAGAAGCTTCTGGAATAGGGATATTGTCTCTCTGACTGCTATGAAGTATAACTCCCAAATTTCCAAACCATGCATGTCCTCAAAACTCAATTTTAATTTTTCTCTCCTGCCTCTATGAAAACCACTGTTTTGGATACCAAACATGATCCAATTACTATTCCGAAAAGTAAACTGATGCCAGTCCTGGTGCTCCCAACTGTAGGATTAATAAGAATTTACATTTCTCGTCAGATTTCAAGGAAATTCTCTAAGCAGGAAGGAAAGTAGGAGGAGTGGGAGAGGTAAAGATATTTAGCAACTAGCCAAACAGCAGAGAAGAGAGTTCCAAATCCAAGACCTGGGTTCAATTCCTAGAAGTAAGGTGCTATTGCTCCTGCTCTCTGCAGTAAGGTTCACTGTGCCCTTTTCCCACTAAAGCAGGTACAGGGGACATTCTATAAGAAGTAAAAAGTGTCTGTCCCTGATAGAATTCCTCCCTCCTTCACTTCACCGTATCAAATAACCTAACAGACAAAGCTAAACTTTTCTTAGAATGCCTTGCCTGGATGCTCACTTCTTCATAGTCTCAAAATGTGAAACAGTAAACACAGTCATTGACCAAGTTTTTGCAGTCATCCCAGAGAATTACTTATTTCACAAAGCTGGGGGTAGGCCATTTCTGATCGAAAATTCATTGTGAAGCACAGAATACATAATGACCAAAGAAGTCTTAGTAAAAAAATACCATCACTGATAAAACACTATATACTTGAAAGGCAGAGGAGCCCTGGTGGCACAGTGGTTAAATGCTCACCCACCTACCCAGAGGTCAGCGGTTCACACCCACCAGCCTCTCTGGGGGAGGAAGATGCACCAGACTGCTTCCATAAAGATTACATCCTTGGAATCCTTTTGGGACAGTTGTAATTTGTCTTGTAGGATTGCTATGAGTCAGAATTAATTTGATGGCAATGGGTATTTTCGGTTGGTGATTTGAAAGGCAACAATACTTGTTGGGTGCCACTGAGTTGGTTTTGACTCAGAGTGACCCCATGTGACAGTGGAACTGGCCCATAGGGTTTCCTAGGCTATAATCTTTATGGGAAAGACCGTCATGTTTTTCTCCTGTAGAGCTGCTGGGATGGTCCAAACTGCCAACTTTTCAGTTACAGCCAAGTGCTTAACCATTGGGCCGCTGGGGCTCCTTCTTAGGGAATACCACGGAGCTGATTTCCTCTACAACAGTCCTGAAAGTGAGGGACACAGCAGCCTAGGATACGGTCAAGAGGTCATGTTCTCACTCCACTGCATGTTTTCCTACCACCAAATTCCCATAGATACCTTTTTAAAAGTTTCCTAAAACAAAAGGTATTTACTCTTCTTCTCAACACTGTGGAAGATACATTTTAGAGGTGTTTACATGAAGCTAACCAAAACCAGATTTTATATTCTCATTGTGATTATGCACTTGAATTAAAATAAAACTGCAGCACTGCTATCCTGGGAGAAGACGGTACTTTATCTCACAAATACACAGCAGGATGCATTTGTTCCAATTTTTTCTCACATAATTAAAAAAAAAAAAAAGGCTGTTTATTTTTTGTTCTACCATCTCTCAAGTGTAAAAAATGAAAAATGTTTTCGGAAGTAATTTTTATGAGAAAAAAAAATATAGAAAATGTCAAAATGACAACATGTTACATAGTTTCTCTCAATGCACAATACAGTTAGTGTGTACGTAGAGCTCCCATGTAAAATAAAAGACTATAAAAAGTAAAGATCAACATGAGGGCTGCCTGGTGAGCTATTACTATATACAGAAGTATTCCCATGCAAGTAATAAGCTAGTAAAGAAGTGGGAACAAATTCATAGTAAGTGGGTTAGTTTTAATAGAAAAACCGTGGGCTATACCATCTTCATTCTACCTAGGGCCCCTGTCATAAGATCTCTGCTTTTAGAACATGTATAAAAATAAAGGAACACATTCTGGCTGTTGGGCAAGTTCATTGTAGTGTACCATTTCCCAAAGTGCGTTCTGCAAGAAGCTAAGAAAGATGACAGTAAAGATGACACATGGTCGAATCAAAGGTGGGGAAGCCAATGTCAACAGAGAGAACCACATTAATTTTGTCATTACTGTTTCTCAGATGCTTTAACAAGCTGATAACATCATGCAAATGAATGAAGAAATGTACTCTTTAGTATTTTCATAACCCTTTTCTTGTAGCACCTTCTGGAATAGTGAGCTGTAATAACCTGCACTTTGGAAAAAGCCAGTTGGTGTAAAGTTTTCATAAACTTGCAGGAAACCCAGCTCCCGAAAGTTTTATTTGAACAGAAGTAAGACAATATTTGAATCACATATTTTTAGGTGGTCCAATGAAACACAATAAACTACCCAATGATTTATGGAAAGAGACCAAAATCTACTTATGGTGGGTGAAGAGGCTGAATGTGGGGTTGAGGAGGCCAGGGAAGAATCCTATGAATTCTGAATCTGAAATTGGCCTGACTCCTTTCTGATCCAGACAGCAAATGCACCACAAGCATGTGAAGACTCTCAGTGCTCCTTCCCCCGGTACTTGCTCCGACCACCTGGACAAGCGCAGGACCTACCGATTCGGATAATGTGCACTGTGATATAGATGTCCTTCCGGAGCTCACTGCTACCCAAATCCTGCCCAAAAACAAAGTCTGGTTACTTCAGAACTTGTAACTTACACAGCAGCATTTCAAGGGTACAGTGTACCATTTTCACAAATAATAGAAGACAAAAATGAATGCAGACATTCCAAATGAAATTTTTATAGCAGAAGCACATAGTTCAGATTCTGTTACAAACGGACCAGTACAAACACCTTTACTTTAGGCCTACTGATGTCAGGTAACGCTCAAAAAGAAAAGTCCATTCTTTGTTTATTCTTTCAGTCACTCCTTCAGCGACTTTTTCTTTAAACATTTCAAAAATATGTACTAAATACTAGGTGCCTTGCTAAGTCCTAGCATCACTGTACTTTGGTAAATAGAATAATGGGTCCAGCATGTACTCAAAGCTGATCTGAGGTACGGCAGGGTCAGCACGTGCCCTGGGCGCCAATGAGCAGTTTCTATTAACACAGTAAGGCCCATGTCCCCCCCAAGCATGGTAGACACCCAGAGTCATAGCAAGGGAGGGGCAGAGAGGACATGCTCCCAGGTGCAAGTCCAAGGGGGTGCCAGATGAGGTGCAGAATGACATTTTCAGGCACCGCAAATATGACAAGCCCCTGACTGAGGCCTCTGGAGAAGACAGAGTAAGGGGTTTCTGCTGGCGTGTTGCTGCTATCAATGTCTATTCATCTTGAAACTGGTGGTAGTGGAGAAGCAACTTAGAGATTTCTGGGGCACTTCTTACTCTTATGTCCCTACATCACTAAAGGAACAACGGTGCCGCTGGGAACAAGGTAGCAGGATTCTAGGCACTAATGTCCCTTGTGTTATTTCCAAGGTTTAAGCAAATTCACTATATTCTCTCACAATAATTTATTTCTGCTAAATAATATGAAACACAACTGCAAGAATCTACCTCATGGATGAAACAAGTTCCACTCACCACAAAGAGAGAACAGTGTCGCTCCGGTTTATCCGGGGCTTTCGGAAGCCCGTTTCTATTCAGCCTCAAGAAAAACCTCTCACTACAAGAGAAGAAAAGTTAAACATTTAAAAATTATTTAATATTTAAGAATTCATGCTTTCTCTTTTTTTTTTTTTAATAATTGTTCTGTGCCATTGGTTACAATTTTTACAATGTATCAGCAGTCTCATTAATTCCATTCTGTTTGCTCTGTTCTCATTGATCTAGCTACCCTACCTCTCCTTGCCTTCTCACCTTTGTTTTTGGGTTCAGTGTTGACCATGTGGTCTTATATAGCAGCTTGTTTAGGATTCATTCTTTGTCTAATTGTTCTTTATCCCAACAATTAAGCTCAACAATCATAAAGTCATTTATTTAACATTAAAATATTTACAGTCAATTAGGAAAGCACCCATGACAATAAACATTCCTTCTCTTCTGACAAACTTACAGAGCAGCAAGTGAAAAGCAGAACACATAAATTGACGTGCAAAGAAAAGTTATCTTTAAAAGCATAGACAGGTTTTCCATGTCAGTGATATCATTATTATCCTAAAAATATAAATAAGTATACTAAAGAAAAAATATGATCCAAAGAGTTTCATTATTTGTACCTAAGATTTTTTTCATAATTTTGTGCCATGCTATTTCAATATTAATGAAATCATTCTGAGTGCTCACCGTCCACTGGAAGGCTTAATAATGTATGCTCTTGTAAGTCTATAACCCAAAACACACACAAAAAAAAACCACCAAGAAACTAAAACTTGAATTTATTAACTCTTTATTAACAAAACGATATAACTCAAACTCACTACTAAACTTGAATTTGAAATTACAGTGCTACCCAGATTTAATGCAAGCAAAATAATCCTTTTGATCAGTTCTAATTTAATATATACTTGTGGACACCATTTAGATTCACAGTAATGTGTCAGGCATAGTATGGGACACACACATAAGTAAAGTCAAATTCTTCCATTAAAAAGCTTAAGATCTGTATGAAGGATACAATTTCAAAAATCCTGTAAGGAAAAAGAGAACCTGTTAAGTGGTAGAAATACAAAGAGGTAAGGGACTGAAAAGGACATCCTAGTGGAGGAAAGAAAGTCAGGAATAATCTTAGTAAGAAGGTATTTATTTGATGAGCTTTGAAGGCTGGAAAATATTTCAGTAGGTGAGAAATAGATGAGGATGAGAGGAAGGGAAGGCCTATCCTGGGAGATGAAACAGCATGATCAAAACTGCTACAAATGGGAAAATGTAGAATATTTTCAGAGAACATCCAATAGCCCAACAACTGAATTTATAAGAAAATAAAATGCATTGATAACAGCATGAAAAACAAGGCTGAAGCGATGGCCTGGGTAATATTACGAGAGGTGTTTATTAAGGGAAAAATAATAAATAAATTAATTTCTGCTCAGAACTGAAATATAGTAATACTAAGTAGCTGGGCCATCTCTGGGAGTTCCAGTAGCGTAGTGCCTAAAGCACTTGACTGCTAACCAGAAGGCTGACGGTTCAAACCCATCAGCTGCTCCTCGGAAGGAAGGTTGGGCAATCTACTTCCATAGTGATACCACCTCAGAAACCCAAGGAGGGGTTGCTATGAGTCAGATATGACTCCACAGCAGTGAATTTGGTTTTTTTGGTTAAGTCATTTTACAAGCATTATAAATGATTGTTTTTAAACTTCCACTGGAGAGCTCCATGAAAATATTTCAAGAACCACTGCATAATATCTACTTTAAGATGCCATTTCAAGGGAAGTAATTTCCAATCCAAATTTTTCTCTTATCTGTCAACGATAATCACCATTAACATGTATTGACCACCATCTTGAACGCAAAGCCCTGTGCTAGCTGCTGAGAACAGCAAGAACATATAAAGCACAGCCTTTGTCTTAAAAGAAGTTCACAAGATGGATATGTCAACTTTACCAATAATAACATTTATTTACATAATGAAGCAGGTGGCTGAAGAACTGCATCATCTTCTGATAAAGAAATTTATAAAACCAATATAGCGTAGTACCTAAGGCACTGAACTGCTAACCAGAAGGCTGGTGGTTCAAACCCACCAGCCATTCCTCAGAAGGAAGGTTGAGCAATCTACTTCCATAGTGATTGTTGTTGTTGTTGTTGCTGTTGTTGTTGTTATGTGCCATCAAGACATTTCCCTTGGAATTCTGCTGGTAACAATTCTCTCAGTGATGCCTTGGAAACCCAAGGAGGGGTTGCTATGAGTCGGGTCTGACTCAACAGCAAATAACAACAACAACAAACATGTATGTTGTGGGAAATCTGCCATCTTCAGAAGGAACCACCCTCACCTAAGAACTAAGACTGTCCAGTCTGAGATGCTGGTTGGCTATGTACTGTGGTATACTGGTCTCATCTCTAATCTCAGGAACATTTAGAAATGAAAACAATACCAAGTGCTGGCAAACTAATGGTACAACAAAGATCAATGATCACTGTAAGAGTTCAGAAAAGAAGTATCTTACAGACCTGGCAGGGTCTGAATGGGACTGTTTTGGTTACCTAGTATCACTCTGACAGGAATATACCACAAATGGGATGGAGGTAACAAACAGGAGTTTATTCTCTGGGAGGCCAGAAGTCTGAGTTCGAAGTGCCAGGCACTAGGGGCTGGGTGAAAGCACCTCGGCCTTAGGCTTCAGCTCGGCCACTTGCTCCTGGCCTAATGAAGCTGGAGGCTTTTCTTCACTCAGGCAGCTAATGGCCGCTGAGGCTGACAAACCCAAGGTCAACAACTGAATAGACACAGTCCTGATATTACCAAACCACACGATAAGCCACTGA